TTGTGAAATATTAACCACACTCCAAAGACCCACCTCTAATTGCATGCAAGTGGAAGGAAATTGCCTTCAGATTGTGTGAGTGGAAACAGTTTCAATTTACATTACATGCTCTACACGTAACAGCATTTTTCTCTCTGACGTTCATTCCTTCGACTCAGAAGTCCTTCCTCAAAAGCAGCTTTCCTAGTTGCAAGTACATCTTTAAAAACACAGTCACAGGTTTGTATACAATATGAATTTTGCTCATTTATCTTGGTGAATTGGGGGCTTTGCTTGTTGTTTATTTTTAAATGTTCTTAATATTAACTTTTAGGTAAAACAGAATATAATACTCTCTCAGGTAGTCATTTTTTCAATCTAAAAAGAAACTGTTAAGGAAGGATGGTTTCTTGTAGAAGAGTGATGAATGGGAAACCCTTTTCCCACCCACCATCATTGAGTTTGTCCAGCAAAAAAACCAAAGACCAACAGAACTTAAAGGATAACTTGTTAGTCCTTCTCCTGAGCAATACTTAACTTCACTCTCTTAACCCCATATTTACCTATGAGATGAGGTTTACAGGAGGCCCCAACTGATATTTGAACAGTAATATGAGGAAACCAATGTGAATCTAGTAGCCCAAATATAAAGTACCTCTCCTTTGCTTCTGAACTATTAAACTCTAAGGTCACGTGTTCCTGTGTAATCTTTAGCGAACTCATAAGTTAGAAGAAAACAGGCTAGTTTCCTTTACATTTTAATCCACTTATGAGGTTCCTCACTCAGCACCTTCATTTTAGTGGGCCCTGCAGAAAAGGAAAAGGTACCTAGAATCTTGAATAATCAGAGAAGAGGAAGCAATTGTTTAAAATGACATCTCTTTCTGTTAGGAGCACTCTAAAAGTCATGGCCACCCATAGAATTTCTCCAGGGGGGCTGAGGGCCACTGGCATCATCAATTTTATTCTATATCTTCCACTTTCAAGTGATACACTCCATTTTAGTGATAGACAGGCTCCTGTAGAAAAGCATCTGATTGATATGTGGCTTCCAGATGAATAAAGACCCTTTTAATAAAAAGAGAAAAGTAGGTATATTGGTTTGGCTTTGAAGTATGACTCCATCGTTTTCCACTTTCTTCATGGTTTCAAGTCCAGTGTAGTGTAAGAGGAAGGAAGGGCACCATTTATTTTTATCAAGCTGTGTAAAGAGGGACCTACATGCAAGCTTTTAGGGGAGTAAGCTATAATTTTATCCAACTGATGAAATTAAAATTATCAGGTAATATTATAAGACAGATTCCTTTGGGAAAGAAAAACGGAGTGTGCTGTGACTACATTTTGAGAGTACATTCAGCCACAATGATGAGCATTATAAAGCCTAAATCCTAAAGGGACATGGAACAGGATAGCTTCATAGGAATGCCGATGACAAACTTTTGAATCTATAGGAGCCTAGGAGTGTCAAGAATATGGATCCAGATTCTACAGCTTAGCTGACAGATGATAAGCGATGTATTACCTCAATGGCTAAATATTTAAGCTTCATGGAGTGGAAGATATTTGACTGGAAATGAGCCAAGAATGCCAAATTAGAAAAAAAAACCCTGCCTGTGAAATTATACTGCAGACATCAACTCTCAACGGCCCCAGAGCTCCAGCTTTCTCAAAGCTGTGGTCCACAGAGCAAATTAAGCAGTGAGAAGTTTACTGTGTTTAACGGAGATAAACAGGCAAGGGTAGAAGATGTAATTACCCAGCAGGTTTTTCTGAAAATGGATCTTAACTCTGTGCCATGAGGGGCAACACTGTAGGGCACTAGTTTATTTTCCTTATTTTTTTTCTTTCTGAAAAACAGTCTCTCACTTGCTTGTAAGGAATTAAAAAAATTTTTTTCACTGACTAATAAGATGGTCAAATATCAAAACACCAAGAGATTTTCACTGGGAAAGCAGACAAAAGGAGAGCTACTTCAGCATTACAGTAGCTCTGAAGAGGATTTCCGGGATGAAGAATACTGTTCGATCTAGAGGATTCGCACTTATACTAAGGACTAACCTTTACCTTACTGTAAATTATATCCTAACTAGATTTCTCTGGGATATAACAGGAGATAATAATTATTTATTGATTCAAAGGTGTATAAAGAGAGGTTTGCATGACAAAACTACCAGCCTGATTTATTAAAGAATGTGGATTTTTTTTTTCTGGTTATTAAATAGCAACAATAAAACAGGATAGTTCCAATATAGCTCTTGGAAGAAGACAACCACCAGAAATAATTTAAAACGTCTACATAGTAAAACTTTTAACAAGTCCAAAATTTCTGTAAGCCAGCACTGGAATAAATACAAAGATGATTATTCACACATTAAAAAATTATATTAAGTTAAAGGATTGGTGAAGATTCTTCCTCTGCTTAGGGCATTGTGCCTGTCCTAGGAGAGCTATCTCCTTTGCAATACCATTAGGGCAGGAAATTGTCAGGGTTTTTTTTATTAGGGTGTGGCAGTTGCAGAGAACATACACTTGCTGAATGATGGTAATATTATAGTTATTTATATGTTTAGCTGTATAGTTATCTGTATGTATATTATATATGTATACATATATGTACATGTATAGGTACATATAGTACATTTATATGTTTGGCTGTATATATATTATATATGTATACATATATGTACATGTAGATGTACATATAGTACCTTTATATGTTTGTCTGTATTTCCCCATTAGACTGTAAGCTTATTGAGAACAGAGAGCCTTCATGGAACAGTGCCTGACACACTGAAATGCTCAATAAATATTTGTTAAGTCAATGAGTGAAGGCAACAAAAGCTAAATGTCCAGAAACACATGTCATGAGAGAAAATGATTTAAACATGTGCCAAAGTACACTCTCTTTTCCTACTAAAAGAGAGTGAAAGGTAATCACGTGTATACCCAACATTCATATATATAGTTCCAAGTCAGCCTTAAATGGTTGATGCTTTTGTGTGAGCATCACTGGTAGACTTCCACAAGCCTTCTCCTATATGTCTATGAAGACCTCAACTTCCAGATCACCCATAGGATCACCCCACCTAGGCCTGGCAGCAGAGACCTTGGACTATTCAGGAGACACTTGCCCCTCCATTCACCAAGCAGGAGGGAGCTTCATGGAATGCCTTGCAGAGACAGAATGACTCACCAGTCTTTGGACACATACAATTTAGCTATGCCAAGAAGCATTCCTTTTCACGTCATCCTTTGATATAATCATCTTTTCATGGACCATGAAAACAACATGGAGCTTGGTGACAGTTAAGAACTCAATTTAATTTCTAGCTCCACTGCAACTCCACCTAATTAACTACCTAATTTACTGATCTGGGCCTCTGTTTCCTCATAAGTAAGATGGGAATGATAAGAATGAAATTGACTTCATAGGATTCTTAGGCAAGTCAGGTGAGATTTTGGATGTGGAAACACTTGTCAAGTCATAAACACTCTGTAATGTGTCATGTTATAGAGAAAGGTGCCTTTGTGGTAGAATGATTGCAAATATAGTACTAATTCTCTGGGCCTCTACCATTCTTTGCAATGTGACTTTGAAATTCCTCCCGTCAATAGGTAGAGTCTACTCCTCCACCATACCTCCTCTCCAATCTGGCTGGTCCTACAATTTTCTCCAGTCTATAAAAAACAGCAGAAGTGAGGGTGTGCTAATTTTGAGCCTAGGCCTCAAGAAGTTTTGCAAACTTCCATTTGCTCTCGTGGAACCTTACCACTCCCAGGAGAACGAGTCCAGAATAGCCCGATGGAGGATTAGAGATCATGTGGAGGAGAGCTCAGTTGTCCCAGCTGAGGACATCCTGGTCCAGCCTACAGCAGCAAACACAGCCACGATCAGCAGAACTGCCTCCAGGACCCATAGCTGACTGCAGGTGAAAGACTGAGCCCAGCCAAGACCAGCAGAACTACCCAGATAATCTTAAACTCATGAGGAGTGATAAACGCTTACTGTTTTAATCCATTTGGTTTGGGAGTGGCTTGTTATATTAGCAATAGCTAACTGATACAGCATTACAGCCTCCTACCAGAGCGTTGCGAACATGTCCAGAAAACAGGGCTACCAGAGCCAGAAAATGTGTGGTCTGGTGAAATAAGGACAACTGTATGGTTCAACTTTTCTCTTCAGCTTTGTTCAGCATTTCCAGGGTGGTTTTAGCCACAATGCCTGGCTGACCTCAGGACTAAGGCTGAGAGCTTCTGATCTCAGCAGAAAGCCTGCCCTTAACTCACAGAACACCACGTGAACGGCTGGGCTTCTGCTTCCAGGATGTGATCTAAAAAGAAAATAAGAAACGGTCTCCTGGATCCTATCAAATCCCTCTTTAAGTACGGTGCCCCAATAAAGAGCCAAAGATGCAGGCAGGTCTCTTTTTAAATATAGCTTCTGAAATCAACCCACCCAGCCTGACATTTGAAAATCAGCTGATTCAGGAAAGCAGGAAGGGATTAGTTAGCAAAAGTGAAAAAGGAAACAGATCAGAGGCTAGATCATCAGAAGCCTGTAAAACCATAAATGCTCAGGAAAATTTGCATGGAAAGTGGCAAGGTAGTTAAAAAAGAAATGAAAGAGTAACCCATCAGTTCCTCTTTATGACCAAGTATGTACTTGCTCACAGAGCTCCGGCCATGTACAGCCAAGGCTAATGTAATGCCATTAGTGAATATTCTGAGGATAATTACAGCCCATGGATTAATGGTTGCCTTTATTTCTGCCTTGCTGTTTGCATTTTGTTTATTTCCCAGGGCTTAACCCCTCCCATAGAGTATGCATAAGCGGAATGTGGGCCTAGAACTCCAATCATCCAAATTTTTCTTATGATTAATAGATTTGATGCACACAGTTATGAGAACTTGAAGGAATTCTACAACTCCTACAAATATATTCCCACCCTTGCTTAAAGGGTTCTCTTTTTATATTACACCTTCTGGATACCCAGCCTTCCCTCTTTCTTCTTTATTAACAGAATATACCAGCAGCAAAGTTGCTCAAACTACCAGCAGATCAGCAAAAAGTGAGAAAAAGCAGCTGAGGTCAAGATGGGAAGGCCAGGTACCCATCAACAATGATTGCAGGTAACATTTAGCAAGCACTTTGATATGTACTGAGCACCATGGTATACAGTCGTTATCTCAACAATTCCATGAGTCAGGTATTATTAAACCCATTTTACAGATGAGGCTTGGCAAGATGCAGTAACTTGTCCCAAAAGTTTCAGAGCTAATTATTGGCAGAGCCAAGAGCAAAACTCAGTCTGGATAATACCAAAGAACTCTCTCCACAACCATTTGAACCGCAAGCTTTGGCTCGCACACACAGTTACATGAACCAAATGTTTCACCTTTCTAAGTTAAATTTGTTTCTTTGTGAAGGCTTGGTCCAGCTCCCTGCAGAGCCCCTCCTAGGCTGACAATTTTTCTCTGGGGCACTCTTTGTAGCCTCTCCCAGCTCTGCCTTTTATCAGATTTCCATTACCTATACTTCGCCTTTTATCCTTTTTCCTCCCTTCCCTTTACCACAAACCACAGTGTCCGGGCTTAAAAACTTTAGGATCAGACTGGTTCTTCCACTGACTAACTGACTAACTAATTAACATGAGATGCTGAGCAAGTAGCTTACCCTCTCTGAGGGTAATAATAGAATCTATTTCATAGAGAGGACGAAATGAGATTATAGATATACCAGGCTTAGCACAGTGTAAGATAATATAGTAAATACTCAGAAAGTGTTACAGAAAAATAAATACAGGCCTTCCATGAACATACAGATTTGGAGGAGAGAAAAAGCTAAAACTAGTCCTAGATTCTCATTACTGAGAAAAAGGTTTCCACAAAGACCCCATTCAGGAGGACTCCATTGTACTCTATTGTAAAGCAAGACTTTACATTCCTTTGCTACTTTACAATCTGTAAAGTACTTTCATATACAGAATCCTATGCCATCCTTGACATAAGGCAGCACTTTCTAAGACCTGGTATAAATGCCACCCTCTTGATGAATTCTTCCCTGAGCTTCCTGTAGAAGACATTAGGGATTGATTCAGCATTGATCCAACTTCCTTCTAAATGAAGTCCCTTCCTTTACTGGAGAGGCTCATGCATTTCCAGACTCTCTTGCAGCTAAGGTATCTGATGCGGTTGAGACTTACCCAATCAGATACACTAGTATAAGCCATAATTGCAGAACTGAATTAGGTGGGAGAAGAGGCATAATGATAGGAATCCATTTTTGCCAGGCAGATTGTAGTTCTAGTGCTGGCATTTTGTGGCAGATTCACAATTCACCAGACTGGCGCAGGAGGAGCAGCCCAGTTCTGGGGCATGGCTTTGAAATATTTGTCTTTTTAGCCCTCCAATGATTTGTGAGTCTTTAATTCTCTATAAATCCCTTTCTTCCTAAATTAGCCATAGTATATTCTATTTTCTGTACTTGATCCCTAAGCAGTCACTTAGAAGAGGAATTCCTTTTGGTCTCTCTTCTGTGCCCACAGAACTTTGTTCCTGCCCACAATTATTGTTACACTTGACTTTTCATTATAGTAACTTTTAGATGCGACTGTCTCTTCTTCAAATTGAAGGCTGAAGATGCTATGTCATTTTCATCTTTGATTTTCTCCACAGTGCTTCGCACAGTGCTTGGCACAAAGCATGTGCTGAATCAAACTGGGGCAGGTTCCCACAGTCACACAGTGGCAGGCAAAAGACTCATCTTGAATTATCACTAGATTTTATTATTCCATATTCTATCTGTTGTTAAATTATGTCTAAATGGCTAATTTTAAAAGTAACCATCTTTGTTTGTGGTAGACTAGGTAACTCTTCAGAAATATCTATTCTCACCTCCTCACTTCCATGGGAGTAGTATATTTCCCTGCTCCACTGATATTGATTTTGGCCATTTGGCCTTATACTGGGGTGGAGTTAGTCTTCAACATCCTTTAATGTGGGGTGCAATTACACGATTTGCCTTGGCCAATCGTATGTTAGCAGACATGATGTGATAGAAACTCTTGAAAGTTTCTTAAACATTTGGGCTTGTGCTGTTGTGTCTCTGTCATTGCCATGAGACCACACCTTGGATAGTTCACTGGTTCAAGGAGCAGATAAGAGGTTCACGGAACAGAGCCATCCCCAGCTGAGTCCAGCCTAAATTAGCCACCCAACATCTCCCCTTTTCCTCGTTCATCTGTAGATGCATGAGCAATAATGCTTACTGTTTTATATCACTAAGGTTTGGTGGTTGTTTGTTACATAGTATCATTGCAACAATAAATTATGTCCCTGGAAAGGCAAAAAATGAAATACTCCCTTTCAAGGGAGATTGGATGTATTAGAAAGACAAGGTGCATCTTGTATGAAGGTTAACACTTTCTTCCAACACATCTCCTTCCCTTCACACCCATCTTCCTCCTTGAGACTCACCTCCTTCATTTCCATAACAATATATATTGCTAGGCTCTAGCTACTTTCTGATCTTACCTTACCACTACCCCCACTCTCATTATGACTTATCAACAGATGTCACTCAAGAATTTTGCTTTCTTCATTAAGTCCTCTTTTCTCCTTTAAGTATCAATTTCAGGGACTTGCATCACTTTCTGTGGAAACTCCCAAACTCTATCTCCAGTTCTGAAGCTTTCTTTACGTCATAGCCACTGAGTTCTAGCTACCACAGATTGTCTGCAACCGATATTCCTCTTAATATCTCACACGGTACTCCCCAAATCATGGTCAGCAACTTCTTCAGACTTACTCTTCTGTTTCCTCTTTCTTTTATTGATTATTTCCCAGATCATCCATACACAAAAATCTCAGTATTAAACAGTTATCTTCCTCTCCCCCAAAGCACACTCCAAATTTAATAATTGTCAAACACCGTGTAGTTGAAATAGATGTGGTTTTGCTAAGTGCTCAGAAGTTTAGTTTAGTGGAGCTTGTAAGTTAAAGGAACACTGTTTGGAATAATTTTGTAAAGCAAAGAGTGACTTTGGTAATGTGACTTTGCCCTGACTGTGTTCTCTAATTTCAGGATTTTCACTGTGCACATTTTTCTTGAATTGAGGGCAGAGTGATGATGGACAGAGTGGTGATGGAACCTCCTGCATACTAATAAAAAAGATTGTGAGCATCACTGAGGGTTTTGGTGGGGAGAAAGGACGGAGGGAAACTGACCATTCTCACTGCAGTTATCACAATTAGGGGCTGATGTCCTAGCTGTCCTATTCAAAAATCAATGGCTAATAAAAAACATAAGCAATACTAACTTAGACTGTCAAAACAGGTATTAAAATTTACCATGCAGAACACAGCCCATAAAAATTTTGCACCTAGATTTCTTTTTTCACTCTAAAAGGATATCACACTATCACTGTTTTTTCTTTCTTTCTTTTTTTCTTTTGTTTTGAGGAAGATTAGCCCTGAGCTAACATCTGCCACAATCCTCCTCCTTTTGCTGAGGAAGACTTGCCCTAAGCTAACATCCGTGCCCATCTTCCTCCACTTTTATATGTGGGATGCCTGCCACAGCATGGCTTGATAATCGATGAGTAGGTTCACACTCAGGATCCAAACCGGCAAACCTTGGCCTGGTGAAGTGGAAAGTGTGAACTTAACTGCTGTGCCACTGGGCCAGCCCTCACGCTATTGGTTTGTATACAGGCATTTAATGAATGACCTCTGAAGAGACCCTGGGTGTGGATCTCATTTACAGATAGATGAGACAGCCAGAGCCTATCAGAGACCCTTATCAAGTTGCTGAGTTGAAACTGACTCAGAGAATATGTATTTGGTAAATTCGAGGAATGTATGTCAGCTATGTTTACAGAGTAGTTGTGGGGTTTATTGTCAAAACAAGTGGCTAAGGCTTATTCCAGGCCCCCAGTGTCAGCAGCACACACACATTTTCACATTCTATTAACTGCAGAATCTGGGGTTTTATATGTTTATTTTTACTGCATGATATATTTTAGCTCCTGCTAAAGATTTTTGTGCAAATGGAAATTGGGTAAGCTTCCTTCCTAACTCTGTAGTTGATCCTTGTTTTTTACCCCAAAAAGTCTTTGAGTCTAGACCAAATTTTATCCAATTGAAAATACCCATAGTGATCAAAGAAAGGACTAGAAAGAGATCTTCAGAGGTATGTATCAGGGGGCATGGACAGAGTGAAAATGACTTTACTGGACCAGATTAAGTTGAAAAATCATGTTGGAACACTTATTCTACACTATATCCACAATAGAGCGCCCACACATATACCAATTACGGGTCAAACCTCAGGTTAACATTTTTGAGACAGTGTTGAGATGGTACAACCCATCAATATATTGCATTTTACATGACATATAATGTGAAATTTATATACATAGACATACACATACATATATATGTATATGTTTGTAATATTTGGGGAGGATAGGGCCAGGGAGGAGTGAGGTTCTAAGAAAAGGAAGCATCTGGACCTAGGGTACAAAAGAGAGAGATTAGACCTTGAGCACAGAGTTCTTGGAGATCTGAAAGAAGCTCATGCGGCCTGGATAGGTGAGACATGTGGTTGTAGGAGACAAAGCCCCTGTCACCAAATGCCTTGACTGCCCTGCTTAGGAACCTCCATTTTATAGAGAAAGCAGTGGGAAGGTCTTTAAACAGCAGAACATGATTCGATGGCTGTTTCTACACGGCCCACCAACAGTGTAAGGAGACAGGCTTGGAGTAGAGGCAATTCTAGAAGCAAGTGGATTCGTTTGAGCCGGTTTGTGGTGGTCATCTAGGTAACGAAAGAGGAGTGAGGACATAACATTTAAAATAGCTTCCTTTTCTCCCTGGTACTTCAACATAAGTTTCCTTTGGAAGGCTATATTCAAAGTTTTCACGTGATTTTCTGAATTGCCATTAGATGGGAAAATGTACAATGCATATCTGACTTCTACAGTTCAACAAACTGACTTCCAAAATCAGAGATTGGAAATTTAACAAAATATTTTTGTGAGCTTATAAACTATTTTTTCTTCAACATACTTTCTACTCTATGACTTCCATTGAAAATCTCTCTGTGTGCGTGTATAAATATATGCGTATACACACACTCTAGTTATATGTGTCATTTTATATATGTGTGTGTATGTACACATATGCATGTGTTTATGCATTAATATACATATAAAATCTTCAGTCAGTTTTTGACTAGAAATTTTTTAATTACATAAGAAAGTTAACATACCTATGAAATGAAGAAATGTGCAGATATCAGAAAATACTTTTTTTGAAAAGATATAGAATGTGGCTATCTATGTTTGGAAAATATGGCTTTATAAGTTCAATAATACAAAAGAAACTATCTTTCCATTGATTTTTTTCTTTGTAACAAAAAGAACCAAAATTTCATAGGGTATTACTACTAAACTATGTTTAAACCTCTGAATGAGGAGATCAGGCAATAAAATATTTATTCAATATTAATTTTGTGATAGAAAATAATATGACAAGCATGTTACAAAGACATAAATTTGTATTTAATATATATTTATATATTATATTTATATTTAGTGTATTCATATTTGTCTTTAAGAGTGAAGCTATTTCATATTTAAACTTCATACCAAAAAGTAAATAAAAAATAAATTACTTTAAGAAACTTTCACAATTTAGTCCTCTTAAATAATAACTGAAGATATGAAAGAGAAAAAACCTCTTAATAGAGTTATAATATGAGATTTTGGTTCCAAGGCATTTTCTTTGCTCAAACTGTAAGAAGATACACTGTAGAAACTAGTTTCCAAGACATGGTCTGATAGATTCTGGTATTTAGAGTATAACAGAAAACGTAACTCAGTTTTGCAATACTTCTGTTAGATTAGACTTACGATGTATGAGCATGAGAAAAATAAAACTGTAAGACCACCGCTTTATAAACTAAAAACCAAGTTGAGCTTTCTTTTGTAAAAACTGAGGAGCAAATCAATTTTTATTATATATTTTCTTATCTTTCCTGTTACCTTTCACAAAACTCCAGTCTCTAATTATAATTTTTCTAAGTCCCTCGATCCACATTTTGTCAGAGAAATTATTCAACAAAAAGGATGCACCCCAAGCACCTGCAAGAGTATCTGACACATAGTAGGTGCCCAATATATATTTTTTGGGTGAATGGGCAGATTCAAATGTGAATTCTGAGTCCCTGTTTGCTTTTTACATTCAGGCATTGTTAACTGACAGGACAGACGTGATTAGGGCCCAGTTCACTAGCTACAATATTCTGGTCCACCTTGGTACCGCCTGGACAACAGTCTCCCCCCAGGTTGCACATTGAAAGACAGTCTCCATTCTGAGTCAGGCTGATGATCTTACAATCGACCAAAGCAAGCTCTGCTGCTGTGCTTTCAGCATTTGAATTATCCCTACTGATGGGGTGTATCATTTCTAGGAAATCCTAAATAGGGGAACACTCTCATAAGATGCAGAGCAGGATTCAAAGATAGAGAGTAGGAGAAGTCTGAACTAAAACCCCAAGAGGTTTAGCCATCTGAAGTCAGAACTGTAAATTTTGACTTTTTAATTTTTTTCTTGAATTCTGAACTATTGATGATTTGGCCAACAGAACACAATTAGACAGCAACTTACAACTCCAGTTCTGCTAGATTTACATGAAGACAGAGGAAGTGGCCTCCTCCATGGCAACATTTGAAGAGCCGTTAAGATGTTCATCTCCCCTAAAATGTCTTCCTTATCAAGCTGCCCTCATCCTGAGAAGTCCCCACACAGATCACCATTCATGAGACGTGAGGGCCGTCAGCCCGTGCTGCGCATCAGAATAGCCTGCACATCGGAAGTCAGGGAAAAGAGACGATCCCAGGGCTTCGCTCTAGACCAACTCAATCACACTCTCAGAATGAGCGGTCATATTTTTTAAAACTTCTGTAAGTGAGTTCATGGGCAAAGAATGTAAGAGCCACTACGTCCCTAGGAAATCACTACAAGCATGTAATCAGTCACCCAAAAGGGTAACACCTGAGTTCATGCCTTTATTCACTGATTCATTCATTCAGCAAACATTTATTGTGCATCTATCATGTGATAGTAGCAATGGGAGAAAATGCAAAGAAGTAAGAATACGACAATCACCCCTATTATTAAACACGCAGTACAGTACCAAGGCTGGCTTCACAGGTGTGCAACCTGTGCCTTTGCACACGGCCCTGTGCTTACAAGGGCCCCAGGCTTGGTTTAATGCTTTTCTGTCATCATCTTGAAATTCTTGATAATTTTTTAATTTGCACTAGGCTCTGCAAATTATGTAGCCAGTCCTACTTAGCACTGTGGAAAATGGTTTACAGGCACTATCTCATTTAACCCCCACAAATACATAACCCATCATTATTACTGTGATTTTATGGAATGAGGAAACTGAGGCATGGTGTGGTAATGTACTTTGCCAAAAGGCACACCACAAAGAAATAATGAAGCCAGGATTTGAACCTGAGTTTTTCTGACTGGCAAGGCAACATGTTTAATGACAGTACTATGCTGGCTTTCCAAACAAAGGCAGGAACAGGTGGCTGAGTTGGCTAGAGTGCAGGGGACATGAAGAGGATTAGCAGGACACAAAGCAAGAAGGTCGAGTTAAATGGATCACAGCATTCTGAATGATTATGGACTCTTTGGGACAAAGGGGAGCATGGAGGAGTGACATGATCAGGGTGGTATTTCAGAAAGTTTATTATGGTAAGAGTATATAAGGTAGTTTGGAGGGAGACAAACAAAAAGGTGTGAAGAAAATATTTGAGCTCATGTAGTCCTTCAAACTTGGGGCAAAAAGATTAATAATAACGAAAACTAGTGTTTAATGAACACTCACTCTGTGCCACACATGGTACATGGATTACGCCATTCAATCCCTATTAAAACCCTATAAGGTAGGCACTTTTTATTACTTTTGCGTTATTGATGAAAAAGAGCAGGCAGGGGAAGTTTAAGTAACTTGCCCATGGTTACACAGCCAATGAGCAGCGAAGGGTTTGTTTAGCTCCAGATCCGGTGATTTAAACTCCAATAAAAATCCTAACAAGATGTCTTTTTAACCAAAGGCAAAAGTTTCTGAAATACATATCAAAAAATTTAAAATATATGAAATGCTGCTTTAAAAAAGAACCAGAAGGAGTTTCAGCAGCTTTGAGAAACCATTATAAATCAATATCAATTAAAACCTTTTGTTCCTGGCACAAAAGTAGAAACAGAGATCAATAGAACAGATTGGAAAATCCAGAAATAGAATAAAGTGGTTTTTAAAAAAAATGTAATGCATGATAACACAAGGTGCCCATAATAAAAAGTGTTGGAAGAATTATTCAATAAATCAAATTGGAATAACTAGATAATAATTTTGGG